GATCAGTAGATCGATGGATCGCTAAATCGTTGGATCTTTAGATCGATGGATTGGTAGATCGCTACATTGGTTGATCTGTAGATCTGTGGATCGGTGGATCGCTAAATCGTTTGATCAGTAGATCGATGGATAGCTAGATCATTGGATCTTTAGATCGATGGATCGGTAGATCGCTACATCGGTTGATCTGTAGATCAATAGATCGGTGGATCTACAGATCGCTTGATCGGTGGATCTATAGATCGCTAGATCGGTGGATCTGTAGATCGATAGATCGCTAGAGCAGTGGATCTGAAGATCGCTAGGTGGAACTGTAGATCGCCAGATCGGTAGATCGATGGATCGCTAGATCGGTGAAGGGTAGATGGCTAGATCGGTAGATTTGTAAATCGCTAGAACGGTGGATCTGTAGATGGCTAGATTGCTGATCTGCAGATTGCTAGATCGGTGGATCTCTAGATTGCTAGACGGCAAGATCTGTAGATCGCTAGATTGGTGGATCGCTAGATCGCTAGATCGGTGGATCGTTAGATCGCGAAATCGGTGGATCTATAGATCGCTAGATCGGTTGTTCTGTATGTCTAGGGATCGCTAAATCGCTAAATGGATCGGTTGATCAGTAGATCGATGGATCGGTAGATCGCTAGACCGGTGGATCAGTAGATCGATGGATTGCTAGATCGTTGGATCGGGAGATCGGTGGATCGCTTCATCGGTTGATCTGTAGATCAATAGATCGGTGGATCGGAAGAATCAAGGAACGGTGGATCTGTAGATCGCTAGATCGGTTAATCTGTAGATCGATGGGTGGCTAGAACGGTGGATTCAAAGGATCTTTGGATCTGTAGATTGGTGGACCGGTAGATCGCTAGATTTATGGATCCGTAGATCTGTGGATCGGTAGATCTCTAGATGGGTGGATCGGTAGATCGATAGATCTGTAGATTGGTGGATCTGTAGATCTGTAGATCTATGGATCGTTAGATCATTGAATCTGTAGATGGATGGATCGGTAGATCGCTAGATCTATGGAACTGTTAATCTGTGGATCGGTAGATCGGTGGATCTGTAGATCGATGGGTCGCTAAATCGAAGGATCGTTGGCAACGTCGATCGTTGGATCTGTACATCGATGGATCGGTAAATCGCTAGATTTATGGATCTCTAGATCTGTGGATCGCCAGATCGGTGGATCAGTATATCGATGGATCTTTAGATCGATGGATCGGGAGATCGCTACATCGGTTGATCTGTAGATCAATAGATCGGTGGATCTATAGATCGTTAGATCGGTGGATCGCTAGATCGCTGGATCAGTGGATCTGTAGATCGCTAGATCGGTTGATCTGTAGATCGATCGATCTCTAGATCGCTAGAACGGTGGATCTATAGATCGCTAGATCGGTGGATCTATAGATAGCTAGATCGGTGGATCTGTAGATCGCCAGATCGGTAGATCAATGGATCGCTAGATCCCTAGATCGTTGAAGGGTAGATGGCTAGATCGGTAGATCTGTAGATCGCTAGAACGGTGGATGTGAAGAAAGCTACATCTGTGATCTGTAGATTACTAGATCGGTGGATCTCTAGATTGCTAGACCGCTAGATCTGTAGATCGCTAGATTGGTGGATCGGTAGATCGATTGATTGCTAGATTGGTTGATCGTTGGATCAGTAGATCAATGGATCGGTAGATCGCTAGATCGAAGGGTCTGTGTGTCACTAGATCGTTGGATCTGTAGATCGCGGTGGATCTGTAGATCGATCGATCGCTGGATCTGTAGATCGATAGATCGGTACAACGGTAGATCTGTTGATCTGTAGATCAATAGATCGGTGGATCTATAGACCGCTAGATTGGTGGATTTGTAGATGGCTAGATCAGTGTATAGGTAGAATGCTACAACGGTGGATCCTTAGATCGGTGGATTGGTGGATGGCTCGGTCGGTAGGTCAGTAGATCGCTAGATCGGTGGTTCGGTAGAATGCTAGAACGGTGGGTGTGGAGATCGGTGGATCTGTAGATCGCTAGGTCGGTTGATCTGTAGATCGCTACATCGGTGGATCGGTAGATCGGTAGATCTGAAGATCGATGGATTGGTGGATCTTTAGATCAATAGATCGGTGGATTTGTAGATCGGTAGACTGGCATAGTGGACCTTATTTGATTTCAGCCAGTTTTGAGGGTAAGCGAGGTGTCATCAGCATACATAAGTGCAGATGATGACAGCTCGCATTCTTGTAACTCATTTATATAAATAAGAAACAACAAGGATCCGTCTATTTACAGATCCAGCGATCTACGGATCCATCGATCTAACGATCCATCGATCTACGGATCCATCGATCTACAGATCCATTGATCTAGCGATCCATCTATCTAGCGATCCATCGATCTACAGTCATAGCCAGTGACTTTTGTCTTTTTGCAAAGTAGTGTTGTTACGAAAAGTAGTACAACATAATGTGAGAGATGATCAACCATGGCTGAAGATGTAGTAATCGTAAATGACTCCATTGAGTGTTTTAGCCAGGAGGGAGTTCGAAAGTGGGTCAAAGAATGCCAATTTATTGTATAAATCTTAGGCCTTAAAAAGTGTAATTTGTCGTTGAAAAGTCCTTGAATTGTGTTTCTCTGAAGTTGTACGAACCATGATGGTAGTGGTGGTGATCATGATGATGTTGATTACAATATTAAAGTTTGTGATGATTACGAAACCTTAATGTACAATATTTAAACATTAATTTTACTTAGGACTTGCATAATTCACATGTGATGTCACAGAACTTGCAGTGGGATATTGAGACACAGGTCAGTACAGAGGTGCCCTGTGTTAATTTTGATTTCTTTCGTTGAACTCTACTGAAGTTGACTTTCTCATGGTTATTTTTAATAATTCTTGCAGTCTCAGAGATTGAAACAAAGAACAGATAAACAAATGAAGGAAAAGTATGCCTTTTATTACAAAAGGCTAAGGCGTTATCAAGATTCTGATGAAAATACTGAAAAAGAACCCTCAAGCAAGTCCAAAGGGAAGGTAGGCTTGTTACCCTTAAACCCCTTAAGATGGGGAAAAACGGGCAACAAAAACGTGCAACTCGTTTGGCGACATTGCCGCGAAACGAGTTGTGCAGCGATGATGCGCATGTTTCCACCCACGAATCAAACCTATTTGCAACAAATCAGGTTCCTGACTTGTCCGTTTTACCGTAGCTTTAGAGTGACGGAATGTTAAGCATAGTTCTCATATATCGCCGAGCTACCTGCGATATACCTGCCGGTACTGCCTGCGATACCGTTCCGATATGAGAACAGAAGTCGCCGGCAACAGAGGCCATGTCGGCCTTAACCACCGGCATCCCTGCGAAGTTGACTCGAGTTCGACTTCGCAGGCAGGTCGGTGTTATGTCCTCATTTGTCGGAGTACTGTCGCACGCAGTACCGGCGGCTACGTCGTAGGTACTTCGGCGGCGTATGAGAACCAGACTTTACTCTCTTAAAAGTAACGAATTATTATATGTTGCACTGGAAAACAAATAACCGTCGTCGTCCAAACATCATGTTTAATCGCTTATTTTCATCCAAATTGTTAGCTTGTTACTCAAAGTGATGTCCTTCCCCTAGAACAACTTATAGTGAAAATCTCAAACACCCCTTTCTTTGATATGCTTTGTTCTAAGACTATCCACAAAGCTCTCGATGCCCTCTGCCCCCAATATTTCATGGATCTCCTGCTCCATGGGAGGTCAACAATTACTTAACGCTCGAAATGTCCACGGCAAGACTTCAGGGAGCTTAACCAACGACGACGGCGATGACAACAAGAATGGAAAAAAAAAATGATAGGGTTAGACGGAATAACAACAACCCTGCACGTGCATCATGTACATTTCTTTGCCGTCGTTGCACGACTACCACGTGAAACGGCCTATTTTCACGTTTTGTGGTTGACGTGAACACAAGACAACGACTTTTTTTCTCTTTTCCTGAACTTCGATGCAGTCCTTTAGAATTCAACTCCAGAAAAAGTCGCCAACATTTGACGAAATAAACGCGACAATGTTTGAAGCAGCGTAGATTCACTTTTTTAAGTGACCTTTTCGTAGCCTTCGCCGTGGTTGTTGCTTAAGCCCCCTATTTCTGACAACCGAGGTCCTGAGCTAACACCGATGAAGACGAGGCTTTCGCTGTGTGTGCCCCGACGTTTTGGAAGACTTTTTCTTTCTGAAATATAGAAAATTCCGTGAAACTTAAAACTTCTTCCAAGAGTCTCTCTGTAATATATTAATTTGGATTACTGTTAATTTTTGTGAAGCGCCTCGGGAAGCTAGTAGATATTTGCGCTATATAAAGGCACAGTGATCATCATCATCATTATCATCATCATCATCATCATCATCGTCATTAAGACGTGGTCATACATTACAAACAAAGAACTGTCTACTGTTTAATTTTTTCGATTAAACAGATCCTCCATAGTGTATAGAGTTGAATTCATCAACTGGTTGCAACGAAGCGCACACTACTGTTATAAAAGGGGGTATTCGCGAGTAGTCGAAGGAGAGATTGAGGGTACGGCCTCACGCAGTTGAGCGCTTTAAAAGGGGGCCTTCAGAGATGTTCGGGGGAGGATGGAAGGACACGGCTTCCTTTAAGCCGGTGTTCTGGAATCGGGTATTCGCTGGTACTGGAGGGAGGAGGTAAGGGTACGGCCTCACCCGGTCGAATGTTTTAAAAGGGGATCTTCACAGATGTTCGGGTGGAGGGTGGAAGGATACGGCTTCCTTTAGGCCGGTGTTCTGGAAGCGGGTATTCACTGGTAATCAAGGGAGGGGGTGAGGGTAAGTCGAGTGCTTGAAAAAGGGGGTTTTCACAGATGTTTGGGGGGAGGGTGGAAGGATACGGCGTCCTTTAGGCCGTTGTTCTGAAAGCAGGTATTTGCGGGTACTCGAGGGAGGGGGTGAGGGTGCCGCCTCAAGCAGGTTAGTTTTAAAAAAGTGGTTTTGACCGGTTCCTTTCTTTTAATAGGAGTTACAAGAAGCGAACACATCGTTGAACAAAAGCAAAGATTCTGCGCCAGTAGAGTTAATTGTTAGCCCGAGGAGACAGGTGCCAAAGAGAAACTCCATTTACCAATCGCTTATGGAAAGGCTGCATAAAACTGATTCCCTGCTGGACTTTGGTGAAGTGCGGATACAGGATTACAATGTATCAATGCCACCCCGCTTAGTCAGTGACAGTTCTTTCTTAAGAAAACAAAAACTCAGTTTACAGTTTGCAAAAAAGAGTTTGGAACAACACGATCGGAAAAGAGCTGTTCAGGTGCAAAGACTGGGAACCCTGCACTCACCACAGAGATACCAACATGATGAGCATGATATAGGCGAGACACACGTCGATCAAGTTGACCAATTACTAGAAAAACTTCAAGAAGCGAACTATGTAGCAAGTGGACGAAAGGGCTTTGGCAATCAAAAAGAATTCGTGCTTGCTTAGCAAAAACTTATCAGCAAAATTGCTTCTTGTTCGAATGCAGCGCTTCATTAACCTTCGAACCCCTAAGAGCTACGGACCATCATCAGATTTCTCCCTCAAATAACACTGCGTTTATAGGAAATGATCACCAGTTACAAAAGGTATTGATTGCTGAACGAATTCCCCTTATCAGTGCTGTAGAAAATGTATACGGAACAGTGTGGAGAATATGCACATTGATATTAGGGTTTTAAGGTTAATGATTTTG